GGTCAGTTACAAGGTACTTCCCATTTTGTGCCACCAGAAACGGTATCACCACTCACACTCGCAGTGTGAAGATGTGTGTGAGAGGATGCCCAGGTCAGACGGCATGCAGCTCGAAGACACAGACACCGGCCAGCAAATGGCTTCCCCAGAGTTGCCCAGGTGCACCCCACCCACCAACAGTGCCTTTCCCTCACATGTCAAGGCCACGAGGATCATCCTGCTGCTGATGGGGAACAAAGCATCCTGCTCCTCTGATTTGCAGGGATTATGAAGGAGGGAGACCGCTTCCCCAGGACCTTGCCATTTCTATTTCTCCTGCTGCGGCACGTGAGCAGAACGAAGGTTCCCCTGCTCTGCACTACAGTGTGTCTTAAGCCAACACTTTCCTCATCAATTCCACAAAATTACCCAACTCAAACCTGAGCTGCGGGTGCAGAGCGCCTCCTAGTGAGTTTGGATGTATATGTCTAGGCAAGAAGGGGCAGAGCCTTGTCCTGCCCCGTATCTGCTTTGTGCCTTGAGGAGGAATATTCTTCTGCTCTCAGCTTCTTCACCTGCACAAGGGCAAGGGAGACAAGGTGGAAAGGTCAAGCACAAGACAGCAGTGTTGGGAAAGGGCACGAGGAGGAAGGCTTTCCCAGCTCAGCACGAAATGGAGACCAAGAAGACCTAGGGGGGTCGGGCTCATGGGAGTCCACCTGAGCCCCTCACTCAGGGCTTGGCCCTGCTGACCTCAGCAGTGGGAACCTGGTCCCCTGCCTGTCAAGGGCCACCCGATGCACCACCCACAGGGCAGGAAATGAGTTCGGTAATCAGGCCACCTTCTTAGGTCGGCCGGCACACTGGATCCAGGAGAGACACCCCCCTCACGTGGTCACAGGGCAAAGGCGTGGAGGTCCCAATATGTCTGCCCTTGATTTAAATCGGGGGAGACCACGCTGGACGAGCTGCCTGAGCGGAGCGGAGCACCCACATCCAGGACTCAGTGAGTCTGCAGCCTAAGGGCAAGGTGGGGGCAGCACGGGTGGAGGGCCCCATCAAGGCTTCCCCAGAGGACTCAAATCACAGGCCCACGGAGGAGAAGAGGGTGTGAGAGGTCCGCTGGAGGAGGGAGCAGTGCAGGGCGCCCTCCTGCGGGATCCGCCACCAAGGCAGCCCAGCCCAGGGGAGCCTCTGCTGCAGGTGGAGCACACGGCCCGGCCCGGGCAGTACAGCCACCAGCGCCCTCATCCTTGGCGGAGCTGCAGTCTCTGCACGCATGCGCATTGCGCCAACTCAGGCCCCAGGCAGCGGCCAGGACTGTCCTCCTCCTGCCGGCGTCCGGCCACGGCGCCAGAGTATGGACGAGGGGCTCTGGCGCTTTCGCGAGGCGACTAGACTGCTGCGGAGTGCGACCGGCCCGCGTCGCAGCTGTGCCGCCCCTGCTGTAGCCTGCGTGGAATGCCAGGTCGCCAGCCGCAGCTCGCAGGCAATCACTCTTCCGCCTCATCCCAGACCCTCCGTAGGCCCTCTTAGGAGGGGCCTACATAGGCACGTACCGGCATTAGCGCCCATCCCACGTACTTACGTACGCACGCCACACGCACTTAAGCAGCGCGGTCGGCTCAGCCAATCAGGCCTACAGGCATGCAGGTACGCATCTGGGTAGGAAGACACGCACTTGCGTAAACACGTACTTACGTCCGCCAAGCCGTGCTAGTAGATACTCTTGGGCTTGGCGGGCCCTGTGGCTCGCAGGCCTATCAGGCCAGCACCAGGGTTCAGGATTCCGAAAGCTGGGGGGGAGTAGCAGGAGGAAATTAAGCAGAGGAGAAGGAAGAGGCGGGACGAGGCCGGGCAGCTTGTCAGGGAGGAGCCCAGGCTTATCAGGCACAGGGCGGGGCCGCAGTTGTGAGGGAGTAACTGGGGCGGGGCTATGAGTGCTGAGGTTGGCGGCGGTGCCGTGGGGCAGACTTCCGGGCTGCGAGTTGTGGTAGACTTGGGGGCGGGATGTCAGCAATGAGGTCATCGTCTGGGGCGGGGCTTTGGTGGCGGAGGGTTGGCCCTAGGTAGCCTAGGGGGCGGGCAGTGACGTCCGCTGTAGCGAAGGGGCGGGCCTGAAGGAGCTGGGCGGGGCTTGAGTGCTGAGGGGGGTCTTGGGCGTGGTCGTACGGGGTTGGGTCGGGCCTGAGTGCTGAAGTGATGTTTGGGGCGGGGCTGTCTGGGTGAAGCCGGTGGGCGGAGGTCAGATCCTCTTGGGGGCGCGGCCTTGAGTTCTGAAGCCCTTTGCGGTGGGGTTGAACTGGGGGTTGGAGGCGGGGCTAAGGGCGGAGTAAGGCGGAGCCTGAGTGCTGAGGTCGAATTGGGGACGAGCTGTGGGGGAGCAGAGCACTGGGGGGGGGGCTGATTGCTGAGGCCATCATTGGGGCGGGGCTAAATGCTTAGTATTTGGGCTGGGGCTGTGGTGAAGCAGCTAGACCGGTGGTGAGGTAAGGTTGGAGCTGGGTCCTGGAGCTCTGACAGTGGGGTGAGGGCGGGGCTAAGGGTGTGAGGGTTAGGAGTGAAGCTGTGGCGTAGCGGGCTGGGGCTGTGAGTGCTGCGGCATATGAGCAGGGCTGAGGGAGCTCAGCTAGTTAGGGGCCGAGCTCGGTAGCAGGGCGGGGCTGTGAGTGCTGTTCTGTGGGCGGGGCTAAGGGTGTGAGAGGGCTGGAGCTGAGTGCTGTTGTGTTGGGGCCGTGGCTAGGGTGCTGAGTTAGGGGTGGAGCTGTGGGGGTAGCAGGGCGGGGCTGAGTGCTGTGGTACTGGGGGCGGGGCTGAGCGTGTTGGAGTTAGGGGCGGAGCTCCGGGTAGCGGGGCGGGGCTGTAAGTGCTGTGCCATTGGCTTCTAGGGTGCGATTTAGGGGCAGGGCTGCGGGTAGCAGGGCGGTGCCGCGTGCCTCTGTGGGAGTTTGGGGCCAGGCTCCGGCATCGGGCGGAGCTGAGAGTGTGCTGAGGGCGGTGACAGTGGGGCTGTGCGAGGGGCGGAGGAGCCCAAGGGAGAGCCTAGGCTGCTGTGGGAACGCGCTGGGTCTAAGACCCTGCCTGAGCCGCGGGGTGGCTCGTGAGAAATTGCCGGGGGAGGGCCGAGTGGGGGGCGGAGCCCGAGGGAGAAAGGAAGGAAAGGGGAATAAGGAAAGTATGAAGATGGGTTCCCCCGAGAATGGTACCGTACCGCAAACAACTACAGTAAGAATGGATAAAAAGGCGGAAGTCGGCAGTAAGTGCTGAATATATCAGAAGTGAGGAGGGCGCTGGACGCCTGAACACCCTGGGAGGAGGAGCTGCGGCCCCGCCCCTTCCCCTCCCTCCTGGCCGTGCTGGCCGTCGCTGCCCTGGGTGGAGAGGGACAAGCTTCGCAAGGCCGGTTTTTCGAGGGGGGAGAGACGCGCACTCTGTGTCCTGCTGCCCTTGGCACCCGAGTCGCCCCAAGCAACCCAGCTTCCCAGCAAGCCTGCTTTCCTCTCTGGCATCGCCCTTGGGCGCCCAGCCTTCCCACAAGGCGGCTGTGCTGCCCGCAGCGCTTTTCCTTTGTCCTGCACCCTGACCCGAGAGCCAAGTTCTGGGTCCCAGCCTCTGGCAGCCCGAGAACAGGCGCCTCCGCCTGCGTCCCCGCGGATGAGGCTGGGCCTCGGGCTCTGTGCGTGTGCCGGCCCAGCCTCCCGAGCAGCCTCCTGCCGCCAGGTCCCCGCGCATCGCGTGGGGGGTGGATGGAGATAGATTTGCCTTGGGTCGGGACACCCGCCGAGCACGGCTTGCTCTCTGGTCCCGGGCACCTGCTCTCCGCGCAGCGCCTGGGGAACCAGGAAAGCAGGAGGTGAAGCGAGGGGAGAGGCTGCCTTCCCCTGGGAGGGAGGACGAAGGGCTTCCAATGCCTTTAAAGATCGCGAGCTCCGGTGCCCATCTGTGCTGGGGGCCCCTCCCGGGCTCCCCTGGACCGTGGTTGCTGGCTTCTTTCTGCCAGTACCCTGGCACCTCGGAGCAGCGGCAAATCCCGAGCCTGGGTCTGCGGAGAGTGGGCTACTGCTGCTGCTTCTCCCCACCCTGAGATCTGAAGAACTGGAACTGGCCTGAGAGGCCGCTTCTCACAGACAGGGCCGCTAGTGGGGACCCCGTGGTGCTCCCTGAGGGCTCCCTTCTCGGACCCTCCGCTGCTCCTGTTCTCAGGAGTACCCGGAGAAGTGGGGCGCAACTGGCCAGTGGGTGCAGTCTCCGAGGGCCGGGGGCACCCGCCGAGGCCTGCCCTGGGGTCTGGTTAGGAGGGCAAGTCCAAGGGTGGCAGCTTCAGACCGGGGCTCTGCTGCCATGGTGGGAGAGCCTTGGAAGGACCCCATCCCAGGGACACCACCGGGCCAGCAGCGAGGCTTCCCCATCCCACCATGCCCTCCGTCTGCACCAGAGCCCTGCCTCCATTGATCTTGGCCGCCACTTGCTGGGGCTTCCTTTCTCTTCCCTCCAGAGCACCGCCCACCCCAGTGGCCTTGGGGGCCTAGACTGGCTTCCCCACCCTCTCTGGGCCATGCAGCAGTTGGCTGACCTCCCTGTGTCCCCAGTTCCCTGGCCCTGCTGTTCCTCTCTTTAGCCCAAGCGCTGTCCTCCGATTCTTTAGGCTCAGCGTGATTTCCGTGAGCCTCCTCTTCTCGGGGGCCTTTCAGGGTCCTCTTCCCTTGCCTCCCTCTGCGGCTTCTGAAATGCAGTCCCCTCTCCTCGCCTTGCTCCTGGCTTCGCAGGCCTAGGCGAAGGCCCTCATCTGGAGAGGGTTCACCCTTGCTCCTGCCCAGAGATCTGCAGCCCAGAGGTCTGGGACAGCTTTGACTCACATTCCTGGCTTCCCTTCAAGTCCTTGGCCAGTCTGGCTTTGTCTCCTGGGAAGTGCCTTTGTCCCGTTTTTCTGTCAAGTTCCGGGTCTGGGTCTTGTTCTTGTGGAGGAGGAGGAGCTTTTTTGGGCTCCTTTTTTTTTTTGTTCTTTTAACCCGCGTCTGGCACTAATTTCAATCGCACTGGCTATTGGAGTTTCAGACACTGTGTCCCCTTCATCTCCAAGGGTCTCCTTTCCGTGTCTTGCAGGGGCTGTTTGGGCTGGCGTGCCCTGAGGGTCAGAGTGTCTCACCTCCCCTCGCTCGGGGGACAGTGAGCCCTGCACTTGTGACAAGCGTGCCCCCAGGAAGAGGGGCTCCTTCTTTGGGCTCTCGCGCTCACTTCCTCATGCCTTAGCTTTCCTTTTCTGCCTGGATTCCACACATGCAAGAGAAGCCTGGGCAGCTGGCCGACCACTGCGTGAAGACAGGGAGCCTTGTTCTCTCCGGCTAGCTCTCCCCATTTTGTGCGGATCCTCAGCTGGCCTGATTCCCGGCTCTCCCCCGCCCCCCTTCCTGTCCTCTGGACAGCTGCTGTGTGGCCATGGCCCCTGACCAAGGCCCAGATCATGTGCTCACGCTGAGAACTGCGTGCATTTCCAGGTTTGACTTTGGTGTTCCGAGTGGATAGGAAAAAGCTGCGGCCAGAAAGGCTGCACACAGGGCTTGGACTGCGCTGGGTAGGAGCGGCGCCTGGGTCGGAGACTGAAGGAGAGTCAGGCTGCCGAGTTCCTGTGAACTTCCGGAACTGAGCCATCGCACCAGCGTTAGTGTGGGGGTCTGTGCCACCGTTGGCGTCTTTCCACAGTTCAGGCTCTTCCGTCAGCCTTCCTGTTCTTCCCTACTCTCCTCTTTGGATGCTTCAGTCTTTATGTAGATAAGCAGGGACCCTGGGCCTTGCCTTCCAAAGCTTAGGGGAGGCCTTCAGATGACACACCATGGCCTGGTGACCGAGGCCTAGCTTGTTTGTCTAAGTGAGTCAGATAGCGGGACACACTGTCAGCCACAGCCTTGGCTGCGGGATCAGTGAGCTGTCCTCAGCAGAGGCCCTCAGCTGACCTAGTGGTCTACCTGCAGCTCCTGTGGCAGCTTTGGAGAGTACAGAAAAGTGAGGAGCAGGAACAACTGTCCTGTGGCCATTTCCACAGGCAAGGATGCTTACAACTTAGGCATATTTTCCCTGCCTCTTTTTCTGTGTTTTCTCCCATTGAGCGCATGCTAGCTTGCAACTTTGCCTTGTAATTTTTCATTATGGCCAGTGTGAGCCAAATTCAGACAGACCCCGCCAGCCTGTCTGAGGTCAAGACTAGCAGACAGGTCCCCGGGAATGGGCCATCTGGCCTTCGTCCAGTGACCAATTTGTCCAGCAGCGTAAGCGCAGGGACTTCCCGAGGCTGGCTGTCACGCAGAGCTTACCAAGACTCCAGATACCAGCGACCCTGGGACACTGCAGCAGCCCTGTCCGCTTATTCCCACTTCCCCGCTGCTCAGTAACCCCACACAGGGCCTCGGGGCCCTTTAGGGAGGGCGGTGCGACCATTGCAGTCTCTCCTTGCCATGGTGCTGCAGTGTCCCTGGTGCCTACCCCAGCCTCTGCTCTGGTCAGTGGGGTTCCGGTCTGCAGTCTGGTTAGGGGCAGAAGCGTGGTGGCTGATGGTTGGGGTGGCAGCACTCGGCCTCCTGCTGCCTCCTGCTCCCCAGCCGCGCTCTCTCTGGGGTCCACTTGGAGCTGTACCCACCTGGGTGCGCAGCCTCTGTGCCCCTAGGGAGGCTGTGTGGTCCCGAGAGTCTCTGTCACTCCCCACTGTCAGCGGCATCCAATCCTTTCGCCTGGCTTCTGGCTGCTCAGTGCTGTTCAGTGCAGCCCTGGCCTCCACTCCAGCTGCTGCTGCTGCAGGGGAGGAGGGGGAATAGAGGCAGCCAAGCACCCTGTTCACAGTGAGCCGTGCTACGGAGCAGCCTCCTCTGCCTCCACCCGGCCTGCAGAGGAGCCTTTCTCTGGCTCATCCCTGACCCCCTCGGTGCACCGTGTGTCTTCTGAGCCCTCTCAGGGAATATATTCCCCCTGAGGGGGCTCTTCTGGCCTCACTCATCCACCCAGTTCCAGGGGGACCCTTCCCCGGCCTCATGGCTCCCTTCCTCTGTGCCCTGCAGGCCTTTCAAGGCTGCTCAGTGTGGGCCTTTGTTCTCTGTAGGCTTCTAGCACCCATCCCCGAGGCGAGTCTGTGCCCCTGGCCCGGCCTTCCAGAGCAGCAAGTTCTGTTTCCTAGCAGGGTACTGCAAGTCCCTTATCTGCAGGCCCCTGGCTGCCGCACTCAGATCCCCTTCCGGGGACCCTGGCCCTGCCACCGCGCGCATCCCGCTCCTGCTCCTCTTCCGGTGTCCTCCCTGTCCTCCCTCCAGGCCCAGCACACCCTGCCTGCTCAGGGGCCTGGCAGCAGGCTCTCAGCTCTTCCTGCGTGGCCTGCTGCTCTCCTGTGTGTAGCTCCACAAGTCCCACAGCCAAGCGAGATGGCAGTCACTGTCCCTGCGGCAGAGACAGGTGAGGCAGCTCCTGGGAGGGGCGTCCCCAGGGCAGAAGGCTCCAGTAACTTTTTCTCCTGTGGGGGCACGTGGGTGCCCCTGGGGGCGGGCACCCCAGCAGGCTGCAAGTTTCAGAGGCATCGGGAGTGTGCTCTTCGGACTTCTCCGCACGCCCCAGTCCCCACTCCCCAGGCACTCAGGTCCCCCACAGGGCTCCTGCCCTGGCCTGCCCAAGCTGCTCTGGGGAGCATCTGGCCGTCTTTGGAGGGCCACCTCCTTATCAAGGCCTGTGATTCATCTTCGGCTTTGCTGCTCCCTGCCTGCCTGACGGGGGCTACTCCTGTCAGCCCCACTCATTATCCCCTGGGGTCGTCCAGGCCCAGTAGTCACAGCCATCCGTTCCCATTGTGCTCAGAGTTGTCATTTTCTTCACTCCATGTGCCTGGATGCCCTACCTGCCAGCAGTCTCCTCTCCGTGAACATCATCCTGGCACACACCGAACGCCAGAGGTCTGATGACTGGGCTGCCACCCTGTGCCCAGGCTGCCTGCGGGCCACCTACTTGGCCCTCCCCTCCGTGGAGCCTTATTATCAGCTGGGCAGATGCAGGGTGATTCCTTCCCAAGACACCAGCCTGTCACCTGCTTTCCTAGAGAGCTCTGGAGCCATCGTGAAACACCGGGTCCCCAGGAGGCAGAGCCAAAGGTTTCCTGGGACTAACACACCTGTGGGAGAGGCAGGAAGGAAGCAGTGTTGGAAAGCAGGTTGGGGCCGACTTGCCAGTGTCAGCCTGCCAGACAGGCAGGGCCGGTATGTGAGGTTCACCCAGGGCAGGGGCCGGTGTGTGGCATGGGTGGTCGCATCAGGTCCTAATGCCTGGTGCACAGTGGGCCATGTTGTCCATGCTGGGCTCTGGAGAGTGGGTGGGGCTGAGCAGCAGGGGGAGGGGCCCAGCAGCCTCTTTCCATAGGCAGAACCGAGCCTGCTGTGCCCTGAGTCCAGCTTCTTGGAAGGTGCTGTGGCCCCTCTGGTGCATTGGACAACTGCTGGATGCTGAAGGGCACGTGCTTCCGGGGCGCCTGCTCCCAGGGCATCTGAGGCCTGTTCCTCTGCTGGGAGCGCAGCCTGCCCGGACAGAGCAGATCTGAGCAGTACGGGACACCGGGAGGCCGCAGAGTGGAGAAGGCTCCTGGCAAGCACGCTCACCTCTGGTCACTCACAGGCTGCTGCGGCATCTTGCAGGCCGGCCTTGGAACCTCAGAGCCCGACCCAAGACAAGTGAGTTAGGGAGCCATGAAAGAGGAGCTGCAAGCGCTGGGTGAGGGAGGGCCTGTGAAGCCCCAGGGGCCCCCGGGGTTGAAGTGAAGAAGATTTTGCTAGGTACGACATGGGGGACAGCTGCCCGGGAGGGTGAGGTCCGCCCAGGCCCAAGAGAGAGCTTCCTGGCTGGAGCAGACCCATTTGCCAAGGCGGGTGGGAAACCAGGTGGGGCGGACTCTGAAAGCTCCTGCAGGAGTCTGGGCCGCACTCGGGCCTGGGTCTGCGCCCTGTCCCGGGACTCACCATGAGCACTTGCACAGGCAAGCCGTCCTCCTCCTCCCCAGAAGCATGCATGGATTTGCTCATTTGGCCAGTCAGCCCCCCGCAACGCCTCCCTGTGCCTCTGAGGGGCTTGGGCAGTGCAGATGGCGGGGCCAGCGGGGGTCAGCAGCAGCCCCTGCTGCTCAGGGTCAGCCCTCCATGGCCAGTGGCTCGGCCCTGGCTCTTTTCCTCTGGACTTACCTTAAGCCTGCCTCTTTCTCTCAGCTTCTGGTGAGGCTTCCGGTTATTGTCCCTGAGTTCACAGTGAAGTTTGAGAGATGCTGTGAGGTCACCAGGACTATTGCAAGGAGCGTGAGGGGAGAGAAGGGCACCGGGGTCAGGTCCTTGCAGTCTGTTTGCCCACACGATGCCTGGGGTTGGCAGCGTGGCTCCTGCTGACGACCCAAAGAAAGAAGGCGTGTGGGTGGGGGTCGCCCAGGCATCACCCCAGAGCCCGAGCTGCGCAGCGTCCAGGGCCAGGTGGGGTTTGGCGGCACGCGCTCCTCACCCGCAGCCTTGGCCGAGCTGCCTCGGAGGGAGGGAGGGAGGAGGGTGGGGTGACGACAGTGTGATGAGATAGGGTGGCCTGCAGCGCCCACTAGAGTGTTCGTGAATGATGCTTGGAGAAAGCTCTGGGGAAGGCCCATTGTATGGATGACATGACACTCCTTAGTGCTTGGGCCTGTCATGGCCCTTGTGGTGCCATCTGCTGGCCTTCACACCCAGCCTCACTTTGAACCACAGTGGGCGATTGGTGGCGTGATACAGGCACAGAAAGTTTGATGTGGTGTTTGGGGAGTGTGAGTGTAAAATGAGGTGCCAAGAGTACTAGGTCAATACATCCTAAAACGTTTCTTCTCTCTTTCCCTCCTCTAATCAGGTCTGCCTTCATCTTCCTAGCTTTCTCAAGGCATATAACGTAGGATATCAAATAAATAATGAGGGAAGTTAAGACAGAGATACATTCCTAATTCTTTTCATGAAAACATAGCTTGTTGCCATGATTGTCCCGTCTACCATTTTCCCGTCTTTCCCACAATTTCCTGTACTTTCCCACGATTCTCCTGTCTCTGTTGTGACTCCTGTCTTTCTCAAGTTTTGTTTTTTTCCACAATGTTCCCATGCTTCCCACAGTGATTTGTGTATCCCACAATCCCATGGATCTAGCATGGAAGACACTGTGTTTGTGAATGTGAAGAAAGATAAAAAATTTTTAACGAGAACAATTTCGTCCATAGAGTTTTTCAACCACAGCACTGATATTTGGCACCAGGTCATCCTTTGTTATATGCAGGAGGCCTATCCTGTGCCTGATAGGAAGTTGGCAGCATCTCTGACCTCTGTCCAGTGGATACCACAAGCAGTTCCCCCTGCCTTCAAGTTGTAACAACCTAAAAATGCCTCTGGATATTACTAAACGTTTCTGATTAGGGTGCAGGGATTTGCTCCTGACTGGGAACCACTATTATAAAGCATGGTCCCAGGCTGAGACAGTAGGATTGCCTCAAGTACAAGGCCAGCTTGGGGTACACAGTGAGTTCAGGCCAGCCTAAACTACAGAGTAAGACCCTGTCTCAAAAAAAAAAAAAAAAAAGAAATGAGGCTTGGAACAATTTTCTTTGTTAGTTTTCATTGCTCAGCGAGGCAAAGAAGACCATGATAAACCGTTGGTGCCCAGTCTTTTGTGTATTAAGCATTCCTGGGTGATCAGTAACACCCAGTTCATCCTATTTGTTGGATTAATGAAATACTGATAAGTTTGTTGACTTTGTAGGAGAGGGACATTGTGTTTTATTCTCATTTTATTATATTCATAATAGCAGATTCTTAACACTTGCCTTACATGTTCTGCTTCTTAATCACAAGATAGATTTATTGGGAGGTACACCACTCCATGTGAAATTACTTTGAAACCTCTACTCACCAGAGCAATGGCAGGTGTCACCATTCATGCCACTGTGGAGCCACTAAAGTCAGGGCAATTTTTGAGATTATAATAGTGATCTCATTGAACAAATACTCAAGTGCTCCAACAAACTCTACATCTGTCATTTTGATCCTACAAGTGGTTGACCAGACTCTCAGTGTTTCAACAACATGCCATGGTAAGTGAATACAAGTCTCAAACTCAGCCCTACTTTTTTGCTGTGGTGAACTTTCTCTTTGTTTTCTTGGGTGGTGAAAGACACACTTTACTGAAAGAAACTATATTGTTGATGTGAGATGTACTACTACCAGGTAGATATTATTAAAGGATGATTTTTCTTGACCTCAGCTCTCTTGACACTTGGGGCCAGATCATTCTTTGTTGTAAAGGCTATTCTGTGCATTGCAGGATGTTTAACAGAATCTCTGATCTCTACCCACTAGATACAAATGTTGCTTCCTCCAAGTTGTAACAGCCCAGTAGTTCCAAGCATTTTGAAGTGTCTTATTGGGGGCAAAATCATCCTCAGTTAAGAATCACTACCTGATACCCACAGTTCTTTGTCATGTGTAGCATTGATATGAAATTCTTTGATCCTTGGCTCAAACTTTGGGCTGTTTTTGTTTCTGAAGCTCCAGTTTGTATTCAGGAAAAATACTTTAGACTTCATGCTCCCAAACTTCAAGTACTGCCTATTCTTCCTGACAGCCTTCTGGCACAAGTCTGCAGTGCTCCTTTTGTGCAAGGTTACCTTGGGTGGTTTCTGTTCTTTGTATGCAAATGTATACCCTCCTACCCCACTTAGACTGGAACCTCTCTGAGGACAAGCATCCTGCCCAGTTCATCTTTGTGGTGTCCTCACGATCTGTCTTTGCCAGAGGAAATGTTGACTGATGATGCAGTAAAATGTTCTATTCCAGTTGTCTAGCATTTATAAAGTCTCTTCCAAGATAAGACATCCTTGACAAATCCTTGATGGATTTGGCATATGAGTGAGATAAGCCCTGCCTGGAGTTAGCTATATACTAGTTGCAGTAGGAAAGGCAAGTATGTCAGTAACTCATTTGGGGCATGACCAGATACCATTCACAATTTTTTTTGTACTAGGGATTGAACCCAGGACCTTAACACTGAGCTAGATCTCCAGCCCTTTAAAAATTTCTTTAAATTTTGAAACAGTGATTCGCTAAGTCTGTAAATCACTTATGCTGGACTCGAACTTGTGATCCTCCTGCCTCAGGCTTCCAGAGTGCTGCCGTTACAGGTGTTTGCCACCATGCTGGGCCAGAAAGAATTACTTTTGAAGTACTACAAGGCTTCAAGAGAGGCCAGGATGCATCCACAGGGAGATCAGGAAGCCTTCAGAGAGAGGCCAGCTCTGAGCTATGCACTGAAGAATGGACAGGAGTTTGGAGGTTGTGATACAGGAGTCCATTCCTGCGAAGTCAGCTATAGGCTGGGAGGGCAGAAGATGAAAAGAAAAAAAGGAACAGCACAATCAGAGGAAGTGGGGGCAAAAGTCTTTCTCATATTTCATGTCTTTTGGTACTTGAATCAATTTGTTGAGATAGGTACCATTAGGTTCATTTGACAGACAAGGAAACCTAGGATGCAGAAATCAAGGAACTTGGCTGAGCTCTCACAGTTGGCTGGCAAGGGATCTGGGATTTTAACTCAGTATTGACCAACCCAGAGCTGGAGCAGCTGCCAAACAGAGTTGGTAACACAAGACATGCACTCTGAGCCTGGTGCCAAACCTATGAACCCGTTGCCTTGAGTTATGCTCCTTACATGTGCAGCTGCCCCTGGGTCCCGAGTATGTTCTTGGCCAAGCCAGGTGGCTATGCATTGTGTTTCCCATTGGCAAAGCAGGGGGCTCAGCCTTAGTGACCAGGCCCTTCTGTTGCCAGTCTAATATGATTCAGGGACTTTGAATTGTGTTGCTTATCTGTAAGCTGCCCCACACCTCCCTTCATATTCCAGGAAGATCTGGAATAAAAACATGTACATTTCACAAAACATACTTTATTGTGACACCAAACAGAGTCAACTCTATTTATTTAACTGCTCCATGCTCTCTTGAGTGAGAGGAGAGACCAAATTGGCAAGGACATTGAAAGCCTGCTGTGTCGCACAGTTGTCCAGACACTATGTTTAAAGTTTCACCTCTAGTGCTGCAGTTGGGAATGCCAAGTCCAATATATACATTTTTTAATTCTTTTTTTCTGAGATAGGGTTCTGTTTTGTAGTTCAGGCTGGCTTTGAACTGACTTTGTAGCCCAGGCTGGCCTCGAACTCGCAGTGATCCTCCTGCCTCTGCCTCCCGAGTGCTAGGATTACAGGCGTGCACCACCACACCCGGCCTCAGTATGTACACTTTTATCCTCACACTGAGAGCCCTGCTTACAAATTCTCCAAAAGGACAGGTTCTAGGGCTTCAGTCAACAAGTCTGTCATTTGCTTATGGGGATCTCTATAGTTCAGAGTCATGTGACTGAACCTCATACCCCTTTACTTCTTATACATTTTCTTACTAGGATACAGCTGGGCTGGGACAAGGTTGGTGGGGAACCGATGGGTTTGCAAGTGTCATCTGCAATCAGCAACTCTGCCCTTGCTCTCATCTCTCTCACTTAGACATTTCGATGGTTACTCTTGGCCCTCCCCTATTCCAGCTCCCTTCCTAGCAAAACTATTTTTCAGAGTATGTTGTACTTTTAAAATGATTATTAATCATATCCAATGTATCCCAAAGTAGTACTGCCAATCT